TTCGTTCTTGAAAAGAATGGGGTAGTTCGATAATGATGCAGATGGGTTCAATGTACAATATTAGAGAATTATATTTAATTACGATGGTTGGAATTAGGGGTGGCTGGCTACAGATTTTGAGAAGATGGATGGAGAATTGGAATTATTGTAAAAAATGTTTCATTTTTAGAAATGAATTTGGGTGGGTCTAATGGTTATGAGAGTTGTGTGTATGGTAGCTATAATTAGGGGTGATTGGCTATGGATTTTGAGAAAGTGGATGAGAAAATGGAATTATTTTAGCAAATTGTTTGTTTTTGGAAAGAATGGGATGGTTCGATACTGATGCCGATGGGTTCAATGTATTAGGGGATTGTATTTAATTATGATAGGTGGAATTAGGCGGTAATTAGTTAGTTGACCACGGATTTTAAGAAGATGGATGGAAAAATGAAATTATTGTAGAAAACAGTTTGTTTTTAATAAATACGAAAGAACCGGAAATTATCCGTAATGTCTAAAGTTCTTTCATTTCCTTCGGTCCTGCTGTAAAAATCTGTGCAACCCGAAGTACAAGAACTCTGGAACTGGAACTATTCAGATAGCTCGTACATAGTATATATTTTACCTTTGCGAACGGAATTCGGGAAAAACCCAATTTCTACGAATCGAAATTTTCTTCTACATATTACGTCGAAATTTTATTGCTGCAACTTCCAAAAGTTGACTTTTGGAAGTCCAATTTCAGTTTGTTAAAGCTTTTATACCCGAAAACTCGATAAAACGAACCCTTTGTAGGTCGAAACTCTTTTGACTTTCTTTGCTGCTCCTGTTATTCTTGTTGCGTTATAGGAAGCACTTCGAATATTTTATATAGTTATTCCTATTTCTGTATACTTTAGCATTTTCAAATCCACCATGACTTCATAAAAATCCCTAACCTAGCCAAAGTAGCATATATTAATCGAATTTATATTTTAATAGAGACTCGCAAACTAGAGTTTGCTGATGGGACTGCGTTTTGAGGTTGCAAACTTATAGAGAAGGTAGTTGCAACGGAATTTGGGATGGCTGGTATCGATGCGAATGGATTTGGATTAAGTGGGTGTGGGGGTAAATGGGCTGCGCGTAATAACGATAGTTATAATGGTACATATTAATTGAATCCACATTTTAATAAGAGCCCACGAGGTAGAAATTTGCTGACAGAATTACCTGCGTTTTGTGGTTGCAAACTTACAGGCAGAGTCGTAGCGAAATTCAATATGCTTGGTATCAATGCGGATGGGTTTTGGGTCCGAGTTCGAGGAGCGCAGGGGTAAATTGGTTGGCAGATGTAATGATAATAATGAACTGAAGTGGGTAATGATCAGGTGCGTTTAAGGAGAAATTGAATTTACATTTTAATGGGGGTTCGCAAAGCAGAATTCGCTGATGAAACTGCATCCTGCGGTTGAAAACGAAGATCATGTACAGAGTTGCGACGTATAAACAGAGAAAATCATTGCAACAGAATCCAGGATAGTGTTTATCCGTGTAAATAGTTTATAATTGAAAAACATGAAGGTAAATACATTGCTAGTGATGAAAAATGAAATTTACATTTTAGTAGTGGCTCATGGGGTATAATTTGCTGGTGGAGCTGGGTTTTGTGGTTGTAAACCTTAACTGTGTATAATAGGGACCATATAAGTAAAGGGAATTGTTGCAATAGAATTTAGAATGGTTAATATCAATGTAGACAGGTCGAATGGGTTTTTATTCAAGGAATCTAAGGGTAAATGCGCTGTAAGTGACGATAATAATAATAATAATAATAACAGTGAATTGAAGTGGGTAATAATAAGCTGTATCTAAAGGAGAATCGAATTTACATTTTAATGAGCACTGTGATGTAGCTTGTTCGTATAAATATCAAAACGTTGGAGACGCTCGTATTCGTAGAAAATATGTGTAAATAAGTTATATGTAATAATAGTAACAAACGCAAGTAAGTAGAATTTATATATTTCAGTATATTTTCTATGAAAGTGATTTCATATTTTCATTGAAGCGTAGAAAGTCGAATTCGGTTGCGGAGCTACATTTTGTGGCTGTAAAGGGTTCATGCGAACAGAGCATGTAAATAGAGGAAAAGTTTGTACAATATTCAGTTTGGTTTGTGTTAATGTAGAAAGTCTGCAAATGCTTGCATTCCTAAAAATTAAGTAATAATAGTAGGTAATGTATTTACGATTTATTATTATAAATGTGTATAAGTATATACAAGTAGCAGTAATATAAACTTTGAAAATGTTCAGTATAAATTTCAGTTGGGACGTAGAAGACGAAATTTGTATTTTTCTTTAAAAAATGCACGAGACATTTTTTTCTTTACAAAGTACAGATACAAAAATATTACAGCCTACGAATATTTTTAAATATTCAAGAATATTTAGAATATTTTTTAAGGATTCCTAAGAATATTTTCAACCCCCTTACGTCTCGATTCTTCTAACTATAGCTGTTATCGTATAAAAAGACAAAGTATGGTTTTACCAAATTTCCTGTACTTTATTCGCATAAACATATTTCTGAAAGATCGATTTTTTTCGCTTGCCTAGATGCACGCAACCCTTTCACGACTACAGCACACGCAGAGCCACCCCTTCGCGTCTGGCCTCCGTATCGCCGATACGATCTCGACGTTTCTTTCTAGCTGTTCCGCGTAGGCGGAGAACTTTTCGATAAGATGCAATAGACATACTAATATTCCACGACGAAAAAAACTGCCAACGCAACCGCCACATGACCCAGATAAAAGGATAGCACCGGGAGGATACGTCGGGCGCGCGAGCTTTTGTCTGCCTTTGCAGAACTCGAGAAGTCAGCTCATCAGCGTGTCTATTCTCGGAGAATGGAACATCTCGAGAACCTAGTTAGTCAAGACGGCTGCCCTCTTCAGCATAACAGAGACAAATTAGAGTTTTTCAGGGTGGGAAAGGGACGAGTTATGCGGGAACGGTTCGCGCAAAGGGCGAATTTTGGAACGCGCCGCGCGCTCACGGCGTTCTTGTCGGACCGTGGGTTCTTTTCATGGTGAATTACATTGTCTCGAAACAATTTACAAAGGCAGGGTGTACATAGATGTTCGCATTGTCTTTGAAAGTTTTAATATGGGCTAAATATGAGCGAAAATATATTGGATTTTGACTAGACGAGTTTTTGGTACAATGTAAATATATAAATATAAAATATCCAATTGTATGCACTGGGAACACTTCGAAAAGTCAGAATATTTTTGCATTTCCTTTGGAAGCTTGAATATGTTCTAAATAAAATTGAAATGATATTGGATTTTGATTAGGCGAGTTTTTGGTAAAATATATTCTCTGGACATCGGTATCTAATTGTATTCTCTGGAAACTATTCAGAAAACAAGGAATTGCATAGATGTTTGTATTTTCTTTGAAAGTATTAGTACGTCCTAAATATAAGTGAGATGATATTGGATTTTGATTAGACGAGTTTCCGGTGAAACTAAACCGGTAAATATAAACTATCTAATTATATTCTCTGGGAACACTTCAAGAAGCCAGAAAATGAATATTTTTTCATTTCCTGTGGAAACTATAATATGTTTTAAATAAAATTGGCATGATATTGAATTTTAACTAGGTAAGTGTTTGGTAAAATATGTAGATTCTTTGGATATTGGTAAAACGATTTTCTTTTGAGATGTTTAAAACATTTTTCAAGAATTTTTGAGTTAACGAAGGAAACAGCAGATTTAATTTCTGATTAAGTTGTCAACATGATGTTTCCTATTTTATTATAATTTAAATACAATATTACAAAGCTTTGAATAAGTAAACCGAAAATGGAATTTCCATTGATTTAATCCAACTCTATTAAGTCTGCAAGCTGAATCTGTTAATAAAGTGCTTCATCAATTAATTAAATTTCTAATTAATTCTCATCTTCATCTGTTAATCTCTACATATGCAAATATCCAGAAATATGTGTATTTGTGGATTCGCTTAGTTATCAATCCAATTGTCATGCATCAAATAATTCATCATGTACCTGTAACAACAATTGGTTAAACAAAACTACAAGTATTTTATTGTATAATTGAAAATGTTATGCTACAAAAGAGATGAATCAAATATGATTAAATCGTATCAATTATTTCCCAGAAAAATATCTTTTAATCATACCGTGCGTGTCAGCCAATTTTCACGTGAAAAATTATTCGAATTTTCTTTTCAAATCTGTGATAAGAGTTTTTCCCATTATTATTTCATGTAATAAATCGATACAAAGTTTCAGATTAACAAGTATGAACAAGTATGAATGAAAAGGTGGTCATTAATGTTAATTATTAATTTTAAAAATTGTTGGCGTTGGCTCGAATTGAGCCAGAGGGAAATTATTGTTCCGTATCGGATTTGCAGAAAATGTAAAACCGAAGAAACCAATCGACTTGCCGATTCCGAAGGGTGTGGACGACGATCTTGATGAGGACGAAGACGATCTTGACGACGAGGATGACCTCGACGCTGATGCGGATGACGAAGATGATTCTGAGGCGGATCCAGAGGACGTGCTTAGCGATCAACCGGACGATGACGAGAGCGACGAGGAATACCTCGACGATTATGACACCACGACAAGGTGAATCAGCTGGATTTATATTTTGAATGACAAGTAGTATGTATGTATACTTTAATTTTGGCAACTCAATCTTGTCCCATCAAATAATTTGTTAAGAATATTTATTTTAAATACTTCAGTAATTTAAAAATAAACTAAGTAGTCTTAGGATAGTTGTACTACCTGCTTTTTACTGACTTGAATAAGAAAAAGAATGAATGTTTGGTAGAGTGTTAGAAAGCATGTTTAGGTAAATTAAATAATTTCAGATTCTTCTTCCTATTAATCTCTGTAGTAATAATTATATTTGAAAGTAATGTTTTAAACTTGAATGAAATGCAACGTTATCGGTTTTCAGTATTATTTTCTTAATATTGATAATAGGAAATTTTGATAATAGGATCCTGTATTATAGGAATTGTCTTTCAAACTATCAGCCTATTGGTATTAAAATTAGAAAATTAAAGTAAAGATTAAAGTTAGAAAATTAAAATGGAGGAAATACCTATAGATATATAGCTTTTATAAATATATATATATATATATATATATATAGCTAAAATACCTAGCTTTTATTTTTATCAATGGCAATATCTTAAGCATGTAACAGAAGATATCGTCTAAATCAGTGTCCAGAGGCTAACAAGTAACACGTTCTCCTTTCCGTAGTCGATTGTCAACAACAGTCTCAACCACGGAGAAACCCAAACAGGACGTGACTGCGATGCCATTGCCGGTCAGTACCAGCACGCAGCAATCCTCGCAGTCGCAGAGTACACCTGATCCGTACCTAACACACTTCGACCCTCGCTCCGAGCACCAGAGCTACAAGCAAGCACAAATGAGACTCGAAGAGGTGCACAAAGAGAAAGTGACAAAAGTAAGTGGGCATTGCTACTGCTAGATACTGTCTGCAAAGATACGAAAGACACAGCAGACTCGAGACAAACTTCTGATTTGATCCTATACCATTGATCTATTGCCTTCAGATGAAAACGCTTGATCTCGTTTTTAGTCAGAAATTGTCGATAGTTAGCGCAAGTAGCGAGGACTTGTTTCGAGCTAGGGGTAGCTAAGAAGGAGAGCCGCGAGTCGAATCTCGAGAGACAGTTATTATCACGCGGAACGCCAGTGTCGAAATCTTTGTGCTACAACGTTTTTAGGTGATGAAGGATTGGAGTGATCTCGAGGAGAAGTATCAGGACATCCGCGCTCACGACCCGGTCGCTGCCGACGCTTTCAAGCGATGGATGACTGCACGGTTCCAAGAGACTGTTGCGGCTCTGGAGGAAAGCGGCGCCGTGGAGAAGCACCAGTTGAGCGCTATGCATCAGCAGAGAGTGCAAGTGCGTGACGTTAATCGACTAAAATTGAGAAATCGCTATTACTTTCGAGGCAAAATTAAATTGGCCATTCTTTCGCCACTTTCATCACGCTGATTAGCCGCCACTTTACCTTCTACGGTAACAATGAAGGAGAATGAGAGAATGGTCTGGCCGTTTATGGTCCAGGGGTTCTCCTCATCTAATGGAAAATGAAATTACTGAAAAAAAGTGATTATCTTAAATCAGCGAGTAGAACTAGGAAGAAATTTGAGAATAAATGGAAAATTGGTGGCGATTTAAAGGTGTACGATGCATGAAGCGGGTTGGACGAAGGAAAGTGGCCTTGATTGATCAATTCAATTTGCTCCTACTGTAGACCACTTCAGTATGGTATTTCTAAAATGAGTGCATTATTTACTATAATTAATTCGCAGGAAGCTGTTAAGCAGAGGAACGAAGAAGCGATGTCGTGTTACACTGCTGCTCTGAATGAGACCCCTCCAAATGTAAGACTTAGAATTTTGCTTAAATTACAAAAACTATTATTAGTAAAAAGAAATGGCAATGTAAATAATGTGCCGCGAAATGAAATTTGTGTAACATTGAACGTGCTAAGCTCTTCATTTGTAGATTAGTAGAATTTTACTTCATAAGAAAATTTGTTTATTTTTGGCATAGATGCACCGCATTCAGAAATGTCTGCAGAAACTGCTCCGAGCTCTTCATAAGGACAGGCACCACACCATCGCCCATTACAAACACCTGCTGGACAGCAGCCTGGAACAAGCGCAGCGTGAAAAGCCCGCGACTCTGGAGCACTTGGCGGAAATCGACAGAATTACCAATCAGAGCCTGTTGATGTTAGAACGGTAATGTGTCGGACAATGAAACGCAACGGCGATCGATCAGAACCTGTAGATCTCTGAAATTTCGTGCGGAAATACAGTTTGACTCATAAGAACGCAATTTATGGGAGATTTCATTCCTTATATATAGGTATCCTGATTTAAGCGCAAAAATTGGCCGGCTTATGGATGATTACGTTTTGGCCCTCAGGAGCAAAGATGAGACTCCTGGACTGCTGTTAGCGATGACACGCGAAGCGGAAGCAGCTATTTTAGACAAATATCAGGCTGACGTGACAAGCAAACAGCAAGGTAGTCGAGGGATTTCATATAATTAATTAATTATTCATGGTAACTAACGGTGAATTGCTTCGATAATAAACGAATGAAATATATCCATTTGCAGAGAAAGAGCATCAGAAGGAACTCGAACGAGCCCGTAAGGAGCAACGCAAAGCGGAACGTGGCGAGTTACGTACCGAGCAGGCGCAGCAGGAAGAGAACGACTCTATAAACGATAACAAAGATACTCAACAGCAGCAGCAGCAGCAACAACAACAACAACAACAGCAACAGCAACCAGAACAACCCTCGGCAGTTGCCGCTATGCATAGTGAAGGACTCGTTAGAGCAGCTCACAGCATGACCCATGATATTTCCCACTCTGAACCGGTGAGTATAACTATAGAAAATGAGTTTTAAAGCCATGGACGTCGAGAAAATCTATTTAACACAACAATTTTTAACTGTAATGGCAATTAATCCCCTTTTACTAAATTATTAAATATCATATCTTGATATTTTGTAAATGAAATACATGTCTTTGAAATTTAAATAAAAATTATCTTTTCTGTCGTTATGTTTACAGGGTTACTCAGTGAGAAGGGAGGTCTACCGCAGAGAGAGTACATCAGTCTACTTCACACTTGCGTTTGCGGGAATAGCATTAATGGCTGCTGCGGTAGTTGGTGTGGCAGTATTCAAAAGGCGCAACGCGAGAAGCCCTCACAGTCAGGTACACTTGAAAAGAAAACAAACAGATCTGTAATACAACTTACCGTTCTTTGATTAAATAATGAGAATTATTACTAACTATTTCCGAACGTTGTACAGGGTTTCATTGAAGTCGATCAAGCAGCTACACCAGAGGAGCGACACGTCTCAAACATGCAGATCAACGGATACGAAAATCCTACATACAAATATTTCGAGGTCAAAGATTAAGTTAGTCATCTGGATCTACAGAATTTTATTTGAAACTGGTCTTAATTGTCCGTTCTCGCGTATGTTCTTCAAGAATCTCATAGTATTTTGTTAGTGTAAGATACCTTTCAGGTTCGAGGTTCTTCCGAAGATTCAAAACATATATAGAGATCTGCATCTTTAGTGATACGTGGAATAAAATCTGTCCATAGGGTGATAGATATCGCAATACAAGTATCATTATTATGTGGCGTCCCTTTATATAGCCTGCCGACGTGTCACGGCCATTCTTTATGCTCTACGACATATGTATAAAGCAATGTTCACGTAATAACATCCGGTAGATGCAAGTGATAACGAGTTCCGCGCGTGACACTCGTGCCAACTGCGAGATTATCTGCGACACAAATTTGGAAAGAAAGCAACACGCCAATGTGCCATATGGGAGGAAACACAAAATCATCTTCGGAAGTATCTCATACACGTTGTTTTCGTTTCGTTGTCATACATGTTATTGATGATAAAAAAGAGGAAAAAAAAACAAAACGCAGGAAGGAGCGCTCGCAATAAAAACGAACACAACAAAAGGTAACATGGAAAAGAACCGAAACGTTGCACGCTGATGTTCCGCGATGATGTCCCTTGATTGAAGGTCTTTGGGCTAACGTATCAAGTCCACAAGAATTTTGGTATATTTTCGGCGACGGAAATGACGCGAACCCGATCGAATGAAGCGTACGCGACCGTACGCAACGCGTAGCTGTTTGCGCTCTTTGCTGTATCCTTCGGTTCTGATATTTTCGGAGATAGTCAATGGCAATAATGGTTGCGCAGCTTGAACCTAATACCAGTGAAAAAAAACTAACGACGATAGAGCAGCGGTAGCGGCTTGCACGGCGAAAAACAGCAAAGTATTAAACTGATTATAAAAGATATAAAAAGAAAAAAAAAAGAAGAAGCATGTAATTAGCATTACGCGAGTGAAGGTGTATGCTATGAAGAAGAAGAAGAAGCAGAAAAAATAATACTAATAACGAAACGCTCTCAAAATATCAGAACGGCAACCGATGCACGTTCACCTTCGTGATGCAGCTGTTTTTTCCATCTCCGTTCGATTCCCACTGCCTGATTTTTTCAGCGACCTTTTCAGTACTTAAACGTCTACTTAGATTATACAAACTTTATACTTAAGAGAAAATTCGAGAATCGTATCTAAAGTTTAACGAGAAAGCAAGATATTTTATCATTCCATACGATAAGTCCACTATATTATCGAGGTGCTGCCCGAACGTTTGCACGGAAAATATTCAGTAGCTTTGTTCGACTCGGCCGAGGGCCGTTCGCGTTCACGTGAACGTCTTGAACGGGGTCGAAAGAGTCACGCCTAAGCTGCCGAATAAGAGGAACAGTTTAAACAGAAGTTTTTTTGAGTGGCATTAGTACCTTCGATTCTAGCTCGACTATAAGTGGCGACCGTTGAAGCAAGCGTTTCTCCGTTCTTGTTTTGACACCCTGTATTACCCCCCTTCTCTTTCGCCCTTTTCCTTTATCTTTTTTCATTTTTCCGTTTCTCACAATCACTTACTACCTTCTTCTAATCCTCTCTTCGTTAGTTTTCTATTATGTCGAAAGATGGTTCATACAATAACTATCTTAGGATATTAATTATATATGACGACGATAATATATTACACGTTTAATGCTTATATATTTGTATATGGTCAGAAGATAGTAGGCCGCACTTTAGCCAGGGTCGCGTGGGAAAGCACAGCTTTCACTTGTTTCCAATGAATAATGCACGTCTCCTTTTTCAATTGTTTTTCTTTTTCTTTTTCCATTAGACCGTATATATGTACCTTCGCGTCGATCGATCGTTGCGATGTATAAGAAAATTTGTCCAAGCGTTTTCTGTACTGCGACGAATTTTAGCCGCGCAAGTATTACGTTCTTTTTCGATTGAGATTGTACACGACGCTTCCGAACCGAACGATCCGGATCGCGTCGGATCGCTCGCCGTTCGTGAACGTTGTAACCCTTTTATCGACTAAGAATTCTCCTTATTTCGAAATGCTAATTTCACTAGTATTTTTCTTTCTTTCTTTCTTTTAATTTTATTTTGCAAAAATAAATTAAGCGAAAAATTGCGCAAACCGAGGAGAATTAATGAATCCTTGGATTCCTAAGCGCACGTTGAAGCAGCTGCCTCCCGTCTAGCGAACGAACACACGTACACACGAGAAGAAAACACACAGGCATACAGCAGCAGACACATTATTAGACTGTTTGTCTCACGCAACTCCGGTAGAAGGGACGTGCCGAGAACGCTCGCGGGCACACACATTCGCGCATCGCTGAGTGTTAAAAATATTATTTTAGATATATTTAAAAAAAAATGATAGCAATTAACTATATGTCTATGGATACAACAAAAGCATAGCATCAATGCGTTAATAATAATAATAATAATAATGATAATATAAATATCTATATATATAAATATATATAAATATATATGTTTCGTGTGCACGTGTGTGTGCGCGCGCGCGTAATATATGAACAATATACATATACATATACATGTACACCTATCAAATTAACTATACATTATGTACCTATAGCGTATAGTCGTTAAAAATGAGGGGAAAGAGAAAGAACATTAACACGTCGCGTATATAAATGACTCGATACGGATTCACGGATGTTCGGGAACCATTTATTGCCTCTGTCGAAAAGGCTTTCTTTCACGCGACATCGTTACGATTTTCGTGCTTTCTATTCGTTGCTAAA